ATTTCTCTTACGTTTCCTAAACGAAAATGCGAAAAACTGAAAAAGGTGGACCATAATCGTCGTCATTATTACGCGTCGGAATATTTCAACATTGGTATTTGTAATATCAACAAAAACGGTAAGAAATTTCCATGCTCGTTCTTCTCGCCTTTAAAAAATTTGCGATTTTAATTTGTGAGGGAGGGGGGGGGGAGGAGCTTTTACACACACACACACACAAAAATGAGATTTCGTATTTTTAAAAATATTTTGTAAGTCAGAACTATTAAGGTTTTAATTTTAATTGTGTTGCCATTATATTAACTATATTTATTACCCTTAATATAATATTTTTTACTTAAGTTTGTATTTAAAAAAATCTTCATGTGCAAACCTATAGAAATTTTTAATCTACAAACTGCAATAAGTTATTCTCATTTCAATTCGCTATATATCAATAGTTCAATCGTTCCAATTAACTTTTCAGAATTGATCGCGCGTTATAAAAGGAAAGACAAATTTTCTGCTAAAATTCGCGCGGACTTTTGCATCTCCGTTTCATAGGCAAGCATCTCGTACAAAACCCTATGTATGCATACGTCTATCTCTAGCATATGTCTTTCCATTCGAAGCGTTCAAGAATCGGTTCAATGAACCAGAAAATCGATCGACAGTCATTACGAAAGAGTAGAAACAATGCTGCTGGGATCGCGATTCGAACGCAATACCGGCCGCGGCAAACGTTTGCCTATCCGTTCCAAATTCGTCGAGAATCGTTTCAACGTATGCGTTGATTCTTTTTCTTTTTTTTTTCCCTCTTGCCTCTTGCGCTCTTTCTTCTCTCTCTTGCACCTCTTGTTTTCTTTCTTTTTCAAATGGATAATCGAGAACGATCATTTGAAATAAAAGCATCGATAAAAATCGAGTCTCTCGTAAATATACTAGGATTTTTTGTTATAAAATGTTGATTTAATATAATTTTAATAACATACAAAATAATACTACCATTAAAATGGAATACATAAAATAATAGTACATTCGAAAAAATAGAAAAAGTAAGGTTAATTATGTCATATGTAATTCTGAAGAAAACGTGAAATAATTGAATTGTAATACAGAGCCATCTATTGAATTCTTACAGAACATAGAGACTTAGATAACCTCCAAATAATAAATCCCAAACAAATATATAATTTAAATATGTATACGTGCCGATAATTGTGATAGTGGACTAATTGGAAGTTAAAAAATTATACAAATATAATATATTATCCTCATATATTTATAATGAATTATATTCGATAATCGTTGAGCAAATGATCCAATCGTATAGATAGAAAGAAAAAGAGATAAATGGATATTGAAATTCTATACATCGGCAAGTAGTATATCGAGTTATTTTCAATATTTGCCTAACGATACCTGATTTAATGAAATAAAGCGACAGAGAGAATACGGATTTTCAATGAAATAACGAAAATGTCGATAATTGTGATTGCTCTAAGTGGGGAGAGGGGGGTATAGGTAAAATGGTCAAATTAATTAGCAGTTTAGTAAAGTAATTACACTTACGTTTAAAACGCGCGTAATTTTAAGCGAGGTCACGCGAAACGTAGTAGGTTGTTATAGTGTTCACCTTCTTGTGCCACAATGTATTCTTTGCCGCATCCAGTCGTTTCTTTTTCTTTTCGTTTTTTTTTTGTTCTCTTTCTCTCTCTCTCTCTCTCTCTCTCTCTCAATTTCATTTCGCTCGTATCTCCCATGTGTTAGCGAATCGCTTGAGGGAATAAATTTTCCTACGAATTCGTGCTTAACAACGGAAAAAAGGGACAATACAACAAACCTTTCTCTGATCGTTTATGAAATATTAGTTAGGCGTTGTAAGATGGAAGCTAGTCGATAAATAAATGAAGATGATAGTCAGAGGGGGAGAAAAAAAAGGTAAGAATAATATATATATATATATATATATATATATATATATATATATATATATATATATTCAAGAGGGAAAGAAAAATATAATAAAGGTCATTGGAATATTTAGAGTACTGGAAACGGAGAAGAGAATTATGAGGTGAATACGATATTGTTATACGGAATTTGAAAAATCGAATAAAAGATTTTCTTTCTCTCTCTTTCTTTCTCTCACACACATCAGAGAAGCGTACTTTTCTCGAAAACGATGATACTCTGACTGGCAACGTAACATGAATTATTTTTCTTCGAGTTCGTCGCTATCCTACTACTTGCATATATCGAACAAGCGAATTTCGTTGACGTTGAAACTCCTGGAACTTTTCTGTAGCTTCCGTGAAACCACTCGCGTTCGATTCTTATCCTTTTACACGATAAGGCATTATCAGCAAAGGATATTTTTATACGCGAGAACGATTTTTTAAAATAGCTACGAGATATCTATCACGTGACTTTAATAAAAACCATTATGACATATTTTATTTAACGTTTGATACCATTTTCTTTCTTTCACGTCTAACAGGAATCACTTGACTTGTCTATTTTCTATAAATAAAACAAATTAATATCTTATACAATTAAAAATATCCGATTAAATCTATTTATTTAAATTAGAATGAAATTTTTGTTGTAATTTGAAAATGTTCTCATGGAACTCGAGTAATCGTGTCGATATTTAAATTAATCACTTTTTATCGATCGATAAACGATACAACAAAGTTTACGATCATTATTCGTAAATTGCCAGGCGCGTGCTTTTCTCTAATACTATTAAAAACTTTTTATTTATTCGTTTAATTTAAATTCTTTCTCTCTTTTTTATACTTCGCATTAATCGAATGAATCGACAAAAGCATCCACACCATGTCAATGCAATCATTTTAGCAATGAATCGAAATATACAAAATATGTTTTCTTTTAATCGAATAATAAAATAACATATATCTTCATTTTACTTTTTGTACAATTTATTGTCACAATCAGAGTTGCCTATTTTATAGAAATTTTGTTTTTCCCAAATAGGAAAAACTTGAATTCTTTGGTTAGTTTTTTTTTTTTTGTTCGAAGGAAGATTAAGAAAAGGACCGAATAAAGGTACAATTTTTATAAACCTACGTTACGAACGAGATTTCAAAGAGTTCTTTTCTTTCTCTCTTTCTCTCTCTCTCTCTCTCTCTTTTTTTTTTCTTTTATCATCCCAAGAAACGTGAAAGTTTTCGGAGTAACGATTGGGTAAAAATCGTAACTTCTTTTCATCGTCATTAAGCTTCGTAGATTTTAGGAAAGACTACGACTACGACTACGAACTACGACTACGACTACGACAACGACGACCTTAAAGTAGCCCCTTTGGAAAGTCTAGCTCACTGGCCACTCATCGATTCTTCGAAGAAATTGGGCCAACAACCGGTGACGTAATTCCATACCACCCTACCTTATTTCTCGCTTTGTACTAATTATTCGTTCGAAGACTTTTCGTCTTTTCAAGTTCTACCAGTACCCCTCCCTTTTCTCTTTGTTCGTCCCGTCCCATTAACCTTACTCACCTTTCGTCACCTTTCGTTCCGTTTTCTTCCCCCTGCTTTCGAGGGAAAGAAACTTTTCAAATTATAAACGTAACTCTCTCTCTCTTTCTCTCTTTCTCTCTCTCTCTCTCTCTCTCTCTCTCTCTCGTTGTTCCCTACGATTCGACACGTGCGTAAAATTGTTAGTACTACTGTCCTGATAAATCCGCTTTGGATATTTTGACGAAGAAAATGACTGAAGCAAGAAAGAAAGAAAAAAACGGGGGTGGGTAGGGTAGAAAGGTAGAGGATGGTCCTAGCTTCACAAAAAAGGACTTGAATTCCCGTCACGGAAACGAGGCCGACGTATTCCCGACACGGAAGCCAAAGGTAACGATGTCTTTGCGGAGAATGGGTATCGACGTGATATCACACGTGATTCCACGTATATTCCTTGCGCGAGACTTCCGCATCTTCTTCTTTTTTTTTTTTTATTTTATTTCTTAACCCGTTTCTCCATACCCTCGTTCAACGAATTGAAAGGAGTATCGATCGTAAAGAATGTATTTGACCATTGACCAATTTTAAAGGAATTATTTTCGTTCTTAATAAAAAAGGAAACACCATATATCACTTTTGTTCGCGTGAACGATCAAATTCTCTTTCGTATCGGGCGAACATTTCGAATTATGCAAATAATAATCGGTAAGGTTAGGTAGGGTAGGGTTGGGTAGGTAGACAGATATGTAAGTACGAAGTGGAATCATAGAATACGCGGTAATGGCTTGTAAGTAGTGAAATAACGGCTTCCTCTATCTGGATTGTTCAAAGTTAGAGGCCCCCGTACGCGTTCGCGAAGGCACCCAAATACGCGACACGACTTACATTGCTAATGAGCACTGACTTAGAACGAACAAACGGGGCTAAGTTGTTCTCTACTACTATTACTTGCCTATTCCCTTTTCTCATATAATTCTTTATCTAATTTTTTATACTCGAATCATATTTTTCACTCTTAACCCTTTTTATAAACGTAACCATTCTTCTAATAGTCAACGTTTGAGAAATCGTTTTATTGGAATCGATTTGTTTGATCTAAAAGTAGAATCATTTCCTCCTATCTGTTTTTCGAATCATTTTTTATTCGATAAAATAACAAACAAAAAATAAAATAAAAAGAGAATAGGAACGTTCGATATACTCGTTTCCGTGGAAACGTTAGCTGACATCTTTTTTTACTGAATTTTTCAACGACAACTACTACCCTTTAAAAATTGATCACATTTATTGGCACTCTTTTTCCACGTTCGATTTTGAATTTTTTTTTATTTTTTTAGAGATGGTCATGCGAAGTTAAATCGTAGGACGTTAAAAAAAAAAAAAGGACAACGTATCAATCCGTAGTACGAGATAACAATAGGTTAAAGGTCGAAGTTATTTTTGTAAAAAGGAAAAGAAGAGAACAGCCCTCGTGAGGGTTGTGCTTGCAGCGCAATGCGTCAAAGGTATTACACTAAGATGATCGTGAGCTTACGTTGTTGACGGTCCTTCTATTTTACCTTCCTACTTACTTACTATATATATATACTTTATCTTTTTGGTCTACAGTCGTTAAAAAACATCCTACGTATATAGTGATTATCTTAAAGGGCTTTTCAACTTCTTAACCCCCTGTGATCTTTCTACCCTCGAAACATAAATTCCAAAGGCGATCGAGAGATTTCTACAAAGGTTCGTTCAATCGTCGAAGGTCCGTAAGCCCCCAAAAGTCGTTTCGATGCCGAAGTGATACATCGTGCGAAAAAGTTTCAACCCTCGAGAAAAGAGAAAAAGATCGAAGGGTTGGTTCATCATAGAACTAGGATCATCATGGCCCTTTCGTGGACAAGAACAAGGTAACGTACTTATTACAAAAGTCTAACGATAATCCCTTGGTTATGTTTGATCCGGTCTGAATTTACCCCAAATCGTTGAACACATGACCTACTAATCCCTTTAAAAACTATTTTTCTTTTCACTCTGATTCTTTACAGTTCCCATTAACTTATACAGTACTATTAACGATTCTACCGATGTCTCACATCTTTGGTAATAAATTTTGAACAAACCTTAAGAAAGTAATGTAATTATTTTGTTAATTATAATTATATATTTCTAATTTTTCTTTTTTATAATTAACAAAGAAAGAGTCCAGTTGGCGGTATATTAATTTTTTTTATATTTTACATAGTTGTAAGTGATTATTAGAATTTAACATTATGTAAGTAGTGAAACTCAATATTTAACCATTTAATATATATATTAATTTTAATTCAAAAGGAAGAAAAAAATTATTATAAAGATATACCACACATGAATGATTAAAAAATTTTGGATTTTCCTACCCTATATTAGACTATAAACTTTTCAAACAATTAAAATATAATTTTTCTTTCCTTTAATTAAACTTTACACATTTTTATTTTATCATTTAACATTAAACGAACTGATATACAATAATTCACGTTAAATCTCTCCCTTCGTTTTCTCGATAACGTACGTAGTCTACCCTCTACCAACACAACTTGTGTAGAATTAGAAAAAAAAAATCGATGTCCTCCGGTTAAACTTGTCCTCTCTCTTCTTGTAAATTGAAGAAAAAAAAAAAAAAAAAGAAAAATACTAAAAGAGAATAAAGAAGATACATAGAGAAGAAATCTCTCTCTTTCTCAGTTGTAATTCTTTCTCACAATCTCTAAGATAGCGTTAGCAACATTTCTTTAGAAATGGGATTTCCTTTGTGGAAACTCTCATTTGAATATTTTTCGAGGTGAAATCGAAGGAGCTTTTACGCGGTCGATAAGTAATGCTGGCCCGTATATATACGTAGGAGAAAGTCTGCTGCTTTGATCGAACGATACACATTACTCTTCGTAAATAAATGCTTTCATCGTTTTCACGAAAGAGATATCGCTTTCTCGATAACATCGCACACATCAAACGTGTTTTTCTTTTTTTGTTTTCCTTTTTTTTATTTGCGTTCTCAATACTCTACTAAAAATATTTTCTATACGATAGGAAAGATATAGAGAGATCAATTAAACACTTGTAAAATCTCATACTATCGTACGTGTCGCTAATTACACACACAATTATTGCAAATAACCTTGTTTAAAACAAATTATCAACAATAACGATGAAGATTAGTCTACGTAATTGAACGACAAGAATTCTTATGCTAGTTAACGAATTAATTCAAGTGAAAACCTCTCATATCGTCAATCAACTCGACTCCTTTTTTTATTTTTTTCACCCTTTAACTCTTTTCCTAAGTTTTTTCTGAGTTGGTAGTAGTAGTAGTAGTAGTAGTCGTTTGGTAGCTGGAAGCCACATATACTCTCGTTTACGTATTCTAAATCGTCTTAGCAATTACGTCGTTAGGTCTATACAGTTCAATTAAGCCGACCAAACTCGTCCCACCCACTATCGTGTCCTATTCCCTTACCTTTCCCTTCCCTTCCCTTTCTAATCCTCATTCGCCGCCGTTGCTGCCAACGCCAAGGACGATAACGAGGAGGAGAACGAGGAGGAAGAGGTGGAGGCTCAAATTAGCCGCTCGAGGATTTAATTGCGTCGGCGCACACCAATTCGAAACTCTCAGATAGCATTTGAGACGATGAAGGCATTTTGCCGCGAATTACGGCACACCGTCTCGCGTTATATTCTCTTACGATTAACGTACTAGACCAATTCAACGATCCTCTTTTAAGGTTGTTCTTTTCAATTTAAAAACTAATTGGACGAGCACAATTCGTGAAATTAATTTAGAACAAAAAATACATTAAAAAAGTACACGTGTAAATGATAATTGAATGATCACGTCGTTTCATTCTGTATAATCGTAAATCATTGTTTGTATATAAATTAATCATCATCATCATCATTATCATCATCATCAAATAAACATCATTTGAAAATAGACTCTAATATTCTCCAATTCTTACAATTTGCATTTCAATTTGAAAAGATTTACCATTATAATGACATACTTATCAGACATGTTGATGAATTGGATAAAAAGTGGTGTAAAAGTGATGTGACAGTTTGTGAGTAGAATTGTGTAGGGTTGAACATGATTTCCCTCGATTTTTTAGTAGAGTGGACAAGGGTCTCATCCTTGAAGTAGACCTATCTCACATCAGTCAGGATCGTGTGAACAGGATCTACTAGCTATTCTATGTAAATATTCGGTGAAATTCGTCAGAGGATTTCAAGGATAACTGAATAGAGAGTAGGAGAGAGAGGAAGAGTAAAGGAAAACTCGATAACTATGCATTATCTCGTGTTACTCCCTAACCACGCGAATAGTTTGTTCGCATTTAATACGAGAAAACACAAAGCACGAGAATGCTTTCCGCGTTGCATCGTCTGGTTGGCTTTCAGGGACTCTAGCCACTTGACTCTCTCTCTCTCTCTCTCTCTCTCTCTCTCTCACACTCTCGATGCGTTCTAAACACGTTTTAGTTTAGCGGTCGAATATTAGAACAAAGCTGCAAGAACACCTCGAGTAGAACTTTCATATTACTTCGAGTAAAATGGTCAAATAATAATAATTGACGATCTATACGAAAATATAATAATAGATGTTAAATAGTAAGCAATTGTAAAATGTAATGTAATTCAACTAAGAAACGAATAGAATTTTTACTGTACATTAAAAAAGAAAATATTAATCATTGTTGCATTATTGCAATAATATTTATATTGAAAATTAATTATATAAATTACACAATAAAATCATGTATTATAATTAATAAATATAATATATATTATATATTATTTTATTTATTATATATATAATTATATTATTATTAATCAAATAATAAAGATATTATATTTACATTAATTTTTGAAACTGCTTAACAAGAAAATATTACAATATAATTTTATTGTGCAAGATATGATAAAACATGTTCCCTATTTGTAAGATTGTTATTACCACAATTACATTAACTAAAGACTCTAACTAGATATGTTACTAAAAAAATTTAGCCTCGTAAAAGACCTTCGTGAACGACCCTTGTAAAAGAGCCTAGTTACCATAAGCAACTCGTCTCATTTCTTCAAATTGAAAACTTGCTTACTGTGTAATATGTTATGTATCATATGTCAATATAACGTAAAATAATTTTTGAATGTGCTAACAATATTATAATAATAATATTATAATAAATAAATCCTACAATCATCCTACACCTGATATTCTGCATTCGTCTCATTCTCTCGAAACTTAGTTTTTTTTTTTTTTCAAATCACTCCCTATTCCAAAGAAGTTTTCACTTCAAAAAGAATATTTAAAACAACCTAGTAAAGATATTAAACCAATAAGAAACTTTCCTATATATTTCTATATACGATAATGAAGATATGATTGTATGATGACGTATTGACGATAAAATATATGATAGACAAGTCCCTTGACTTGGTGCTAACGAGACAACGTTATTTTCTGTCCTTCATCTTCCTAGAAGAAGATCTCTCCCTTAGTGAATGTACAACCCAAACCCCAACCTCAACCATCGGCGCCTCTATTCTCAACGGCGCCCGGGGTCGTAATTAGTTTGTGGCTTCAGACCGGGTCTCCGTCAACCTTCTACTCTTTCGCGATTAAAAGGAGAGACAATGCTGCTGGCTGCTGGCTGCCAGCCTAGACACCCCACGATAAGTCTACAATATCCCAGAATAGGACTCAGAACGAGTAGACCAAGTCAACGATGCTGCCAATGACGAGAGAAAACCAAGACTTCTCGTCGATGTCGAATGACAACCTTCCGAGCTCCGAGACAAGTCGATTATTAAAGTAGGGGGGAATATGAAGAATACTTAATTTGATTAAAACAATGGAAAAATGTCCTCTATCACCAAGAGACTTACATTCACAAAAATAAATTATTGACATTTACTTTTATAGAAAGAAATCATGACAACGGAATTTCGAATCTTATAAAAATCTGATCGCGAATTTTGTCTACTTACAGAAATCGGAATAAATCTAGTAGTTCATTTAGTAGAATTATTAAGTAGTATAATTAATAAAGTACGACTTTAATTATCAAAGTATTAACATAACAAATGTAAATATACATTGAAATATTTCGTGGTAATAATTCTTGTCTCTTTTTAATCTCGTTTAATAGTGTCACGAAGAAGAAAGAAAAATGGAGACAAAGAAGTGTAACGAAACGTAACGTTAGAGTTACATATAGATCGAATAGTATCGTCGAATATCGGCTAGTGTCCCATGAGAGAGAGAGGATGAATAAATTGATTCCGAAATGCAACGTCTGTTATTCAAGCGTTCCTCCTCTCTCTCTCTCTCTCTCTCTCTTTTACGTTTTCTTCTTCCGTTGACTCTGCCACGAAATAAGTTGGCAGAAAGTTCGCAAACGATTACCCCTCTTTGCCTTCTTTTTCGTACTTTCTCTCTCTTAAAAAAAAAAAGAAAAAAAACGACAAAGAACGACATTTCTGAACGTTCCGACTGAAAAGACCATACTACGACATACGCGTGGTGGGTAGCCCTTTTCGTAAAAGGGACTACTACTACTGCTACTACTACTACTACACTAAAACTGGGGTTCTTCGATCTTCGTTTTCTTTTCTTTTCTTTTCTTTTCTTTTCTCATCTTTTCTCTTCCCACATCTAACACCGTTCTGGCTCCGAGAGCATCGTGGCGAAACTTTCTCGAAAGTGGCTACTAGGAGAAGGAGAAGGAAAGAAAGATATATGTGTATGTGTGTATATGTAGGTAGGAAGTAAAGGAAGATGAAGAGAGTATGGAAAAAGAAGGAGACGGAAATGGTGGAAATGGAGGTAGTTTCAACGCTACTGCTGCTGCTGCTGCTGCTTCTACTA